ATTTACATAGATATTAAAAAATCTCAATTGACATGAAATATTTAAGCAGAATTTAGAGCCTAACTCTTGACATTACAATAAAATGCATATGCATCAAATTCCTCTTAAAATGAGTCTGTCAAATATTAATAAAATAGATTCTCACGTTGTATTACATATAATGAACAATAACATTATTTACTTCATCACTATAGCAGGTGAAAACATTAAGGCCAAATGAAATATATGATGACTGATGTGTCCACACACACACACACACACACACACACATACATACATACATACATACATACATACATAATGGACTCTCCCGTCAGTTTCGATGTATGAGGATCTGCCAGCTTATTGATTCAGTTATGAAAGTTTATGCGCTAATCTTAAGTGGCATTTAAGACCTGCTAGTGATTTACAAAGGAGGCCACATATAGAGCAAGTGTGAGGATTGTGAGATGAGATCACTGTTAGATTGGTTGACCTTTTAGATCTTGCTCTCGCTTCTTGAAAATGATTCAGACAAGCAGATTGAAAATTGCTGAGTCCACTAAAACACGTTGATCTCCATTCTACCCGCCCCAAAGCTAAGCGCTCAAGGGTGTTATGTGGTATATTAACTGCTGACAAGTTGCTTTTCAGCTTGTCTTTGTATCTTAGCCATGGGCGTCCTACATTCCTGTAGCCCTCATCTAACTGGCTGTACATTAGGATCTTGGGTATCCTGTCATCAGACATTCTGAAGACATGACCAGTCCACCGTAACTGAGACTGTATGATAAAAGTCTCGATTTCTCCAATATTACACCTATTAAACAGGTCTATGTTAGATGTCCTATCTTGAAGCTTAACAGACAGCTTTTATGGAAAACATCTAGCTGGCGTATATGGTATCTGTATGGAGTCCATGACTCTGAGCCATACAAAAGGATGGCAAGTACAACAGCTCTGTAAACCCGAATTTTCGTATCCAGTCGAATACCCCGCTCATTCCACAAGCGATGGTGAAGTTTGCTGAAAGCACCATACATATATATATATATATATATATATATATATATATATATATATGTGTCTTGAACAATAAAAAAATATTAAAAATTAAAATTTCAGACACACTGGGTTGCAAATTAATATCTTTGCTTTATTATTTAAATTAAGTTCCTTGACTAGTGTTGTAACCTAGAAAGGATTATTGAATGATGAATAACCAAAACAGAGGTTGGAAATGAAATGGTAATCTTTATAACATCAACAAAATACAATACTTGCCAACAGCATGAAATAAGTAAACCACTGTTAGTGGTGGACAACTTAGACATCATATTATCCCCACTAAGAATAGGGTCCAATGTATTTATGAGGATTGGGAATACACATTAGTGTTCATAGTTACAGTATATAACAACTAGTTTCAGTCAGCATAGCCATCCTCAAGAGAAAAAATTCCTGCTTGTTAGTAGCAGTGAAACTACACAGGTGAATGTCTATGAAAAAAGTGAATTCTGCCTCTAGTTTTCATTTGTTTTTATCATTAATTTTTGGTCAGTCCTTGTATTGGTCAAAAGGCCTCTTTCAAGTTCTTTTAAGGAGACGCTGGGAGATTCATGAGTTTCAGATTTACCTCTGTAGTCATTCTGACAGCTTTATTGGTTGCTGGGAAGAGGATATTATGCGTATGTTATCTTTTAGTTTTTTGGGTGTGTGTGTGATGTGTGTATATGCATATATTTGTGTTAGTGTGTGTATGTGAGAGACTTCAACACTTCTGCAAACATGTCTGTCTAGTGTGGTTGAGAAATATGAGTGGAGGTTTGATCTATGGGATTATCTATTAATTCTGTCTGTGCTGTTTAGTCTGTTGTTAAGTCCATCCAGACAAAATGTTCTGAAATGCAAAATCCATTTGTCTTCATGTTCTTCTAGTATCTTCCTAAGTTTTTCTTTTGTGTCTATTTCTATTCTTTCAATAATAGTGAATTTTGCATGGCTATAAAAATCATGTTTTTCTAAGTGGAAATCTTCTATAGGTAATAATTATCTTTTGTGGGGAGCTAACTTAATCCGATTTCGATAATTATTAATTCTGTAGTGAAAGGGACATTCATATTTTCCCATATATTTTTTCTGGCATAGTGAACATTCTAATAAGTAAATTATGTGATGACTTCTACAGTTAGAGTTGTGGGAGATTTTGAAAGTAGTGTTACTGATTATATACATATAAATTTTTTAAGTGAATTTCAAAGACAATATTTAAGTATTTGTACATAGATTTATTCAACTGCACATGTGTCATTTTGTTCCACTACCTTTTGCCATCTTTGAAGCAGCTTCATAATTCCAGCCTCTCAAAAATTGGTATATTTCTGGGGAATGAAATGGTCTAAGTAGTTTTCCCATACTTCCGGGGAATTAAAGTTCTTCCCATTAAGATTTGTCAGGAAGGTGGCTTCTTGATGTTATCAGCCTGATCCCAGCATGTGGCATCTTTGGAAACTGCCTAAAAACCATACCACAAGTTAACCCAAGTGAAATTGGGTAGACAGAACTAATTTATGGTTGTGCTATCATGAAGTCACAAATCATCATGACCGAGGGTTTGAGCATACTGAATTTGTTCAGACTGTTGATCCTGCTAAGGTCTGCTCAGCATAGTTGCAGTATAAACCACAGGTGGGCTTTGTCAGTGTTGGACAAACAAGAATTTGCCTGAGCAAATGTCTTCAATAGGGATTGGCAGACAGGCTTTCTCAGATATGAACAGCCAACCATTGTTTAGAAACCATATTCAGTTGGAACAAAAGTCCAAGAAAGTTCAAAGATAATATTTACATATTTTCATATATATTTATTCAACTATATATGTGTCATTTTGTTCCACCATCTTTGAGACATCTTCATGATTCCATTCTCCCAGGTCTTGGCATTTTTCTGGGTGATTAACTGGATTAAGTGGCTTTTACAGGCTTCCAGTGAAGCAAATTTCTTCCCATTTTAAGGGATCAAAATAAGGAGCAATCCAAAGTAGTAAGATCAGTTAAGTGTGGCAGAATCAGTTGGACATTCCAGCCAAGATGAGTCTGTCTATATTTCTGAGATGAGGTATTATGTACAGTATTTACATTAGTCGGACTATTGTCCTCATCTTTGTCGTCATATTTGTCACAACGTTTCGGATGTTGTACACTCCGGCCTTCTTCAGGTGGTTGGAATTTCGAACTGAACCCTTTATTTCGATCACTGGGGTAGACTGTTCTAGTTCCACGTGCCATGTTTGATGGATGTCAGTTATCAGTTATCTCCTGCTAATTTTCCCTCTGAAAGTTCTCCACTGCCTTAACCAGGTATTGAACTCACCTTCTTTTGGGTCTGTCACTGGATCTAACCAATGCCTTTATCCACTGTGCCATGTGTCCTGAAGAAGGCCGGAGCGTACAACGGCCAAAACGTTGTGACAAATATGGCGACAAAGATGAGGACAATAGTCCGACTAATGTAAATACTGTCCAGCCAAGATGTATCAATTTCTGCCAGGTTTGCAAAGATACATGAGGTCTAGTGTTGTCATGTTGGAAGATGACTCCTTTCTGATTGGACAATTCCAGAAGTTTTCATCAGTTGTTGTCTATAAGCTACCCAAAGGAAACAGTACTTCAGACTTGATTTTACAGGACGAGTTCATAACACAAAATGCACTTCCAATCCCACCAGATACAAAGCGTTTCAGACCAAAAATGGACTATTGCTATTTGGATAAGAGCTGCCCAGATGTCACTCTCCAAGTCCAAAAGCATCTCTGACCCCTTGTGGGTGACAAATTATTCTCCACCCTCCAAGCTCTCTCTCACAGGTGAGATGTGGCAATCCTTTCACTGCTTTATCACTACTTCCATGGAAAGTGCTCAGATAAACTCTGTCTCTTACTCTGTAACAGTCTAACTTGAGTGACTCCCAAGCCTTCTATAGTGTGAACTTCACTGTAAAAAAAAAAAAAATAGAAGATGAATCAAAAATAAGCAAAAAATAGGACAAGAACAGTGTGGTTTTGTCAAATAGTGGAGCAAGAAAGGCTATATTTATGGTTGAGAAAGACGAATACAAGTGAACAATGATATATACTTATATTTCATAGATTACACAAAAGCATTTGAGAATGCATGCCACAAGGATCTATTTGAACTGCTAGGAAAACTTGATTTATTTAGGTAATGATTTTAAAATAATCTAGTACTTGTATTATCTCTTATGTCCTCCTGTCACTCTCTCTCTCTCTCTCTATATATATATATATATATATATATATATATATATATTATGTGTCCCTCTCTCCATATCTCTCTCTCATGAGTCCCTCTCTCTCTCTCTCTCTCTCTCTCTATATATATATATATATATATATATATATATATATATATATATATATATATATATATAATTCTCTTAATTTCCTCTCCAAATTTATATTCCCCTTTCTTTTCTTCAAAACCCTAATTCTATCTCTTATTTCTTACATCTTTACTTCTCTCTTTTTTATTTTTTCTCTCTATATATTGATTCCAGTGAGGTGACCTATTAAATAGGTCAATGTCTGGTCCTTACCCTCCTTCATCAATATTAAGTATTGTAATAAAAATAAATGTAAAAGCATTCCTATCTCTGCCTTCCCTTTCTAATTTTGACCGTGTCTCTCACACTATCTCTCACCACTCTCTATATCACTTTACATCAACTTAATACTACCTCTCAAAAGTGTAAAAAATTGTATGTAAATTTAAATTCATTTTTTCACCCTTGATGAGCCAGGGAAAAAGCAATTCCCTGGGGAAATAAATTATAACCATGGACCCTTAAAGTTGTCTGTTTTCATTAAATTAAATTAATTGCTCTGATTTAACATTGAGCTCTCCATATTTCATCCTCCTTGGGATTATCCATATGGATTACCAAGATTTTCATTACTTAAATATATATATATCTTCAGTGTCCCTTCTCTATCTCTATCTCTTATGTATCCCTTGTCTATATCTCTTTCTTATGTTCCTTTTCCCTTCTCTTATGTGACCCTTCTCTACCGCTCTTTCTCTCTCTTGTGTATCCCTCCTCTATATTTCTTTCTCTTATGTGTCCCTTCTCTATCTCTCTCTCTCTCATGTGTCCCTTCTCTATATCTCTCTGTCTCTCTTATGTGTGTCTTCTATATAACTCTCTTCCTTATAAGTCCTTTCTCTATATTTCTTTCACTTATGGGTCCCTTCTCTATCTCTCTCCCTTATTAGTCCCTTCTCTATCTCTCTCTCTCTCTCTTATGTGTCCCTTCTCTACCACTCTTTCTCTCTCTTGTGTATCCCTCCTCTATATCTCTTTCTCTTATGTGTCCTCTCTATCTCTCTCTCTCTCATGTGTCCCTTCTCCATATCTCTCTCTTATGTGTCCCTTCTTTATATCTCTCTGTCTCTCTTATGTGTGCCTTCTATATAACTCTCTTCCTTATGAGTCCTTTCTCTATATCTCTTTCACTTATGGGTCCCTTCTCTATCTCTCTCTCTTATGTGTCCTCTCTCTAACGCTCTCCCTTATGAGTCCCTTCTTTATATCTCTCTCTCATGTGTCCCTTCTCTATATCTCTCTCTCATGTGTCCCTTCTCTATACATCTCTCTCTCTTGTGTGTCCCTTCTCTATATCTCTTTCTCTTGTGTCCCTTCTCTATATATCTCTCTCTTATGTGTCCTTTCTCTTTATCTCTCTCTCTCATGTGTCCCTTCTCTATCTTTCTCAATCTCTCTCTCTTATGTGTTCCTTGCCTATCTTTCTCTGTTGAGGCAGGAATACAAAAGACTGATTTGTCGGTCACCAGTGTAGCCAGTAAAAATGTGGCCATAATGCTATGAGCTGTGGATAAATATTTTTGGCAATTATTCCAAAATTAAAGTTCAACTTATTTCCACTTGCAATGAGTGGAAATGAAATAGGAGGCTTAACGATAATAATCATTTTAATAATGTTAACTCTCAGTCTGAGAAAGAAAAAAGATAATTAAAAATTAAATAAGAACAGACATCTATAATAATATTTTAAAAATTACAAAATAAAATTGAAAGTAAAATAATGTAAACAACAAAAGTACATGATTTCAGATATTTAACTCAAGTCTTACCATAAAAGATGCATTTATGACATTCTGCTTTGTCTAAAAATATGACCCATTGGTGTCATTTCACATAATGAGGACGTCAAGGGAGATTGATTGTTTTTTAATGATTGGAATTGACCTCCTTGATTCCAGCCACACTAAGATTGATGTAGAGATCAAAGAGATTTAAATAAATCTTTTCAATTTAGTAAAACTGCAGACTTACTCTCTCTATCATGCATCCCTCTCACTCTCTCTCGCACACTCTCTCTCAAGTGTCTCTTATGTGTCCCTCTCTCTAGATATATCTCTCTCTTATCTGTTCATCTCTCTCTCTCTATATATATATATATCTTATGTGTTCCCTGTCTATATCTTTCTCTCTCTTATGTGTCCCACTCTCTATCTCTCTCTTTCAATTATGTTCCTCTCTCTATATATATATATCTCTTATGCACCCCTCTTTCTATCTATTTCTTTCAATTATATGTCCCTATCTTTATCTCTCTCCCTCTCTCTTATTTGTCACTCTCTCTCTATATATATATATATCTCAGGTGTCCCTTTCTATATATCTCTCTCTCTTATGTGTCCCTCTGTCTATATCTTTCTCTCTAATGTGTACCTCCCTCTATATCTCTCTATCTTATGTATCACTATCTCTCTCTCTATATATATATATATATCTTATGTTTTCCGCTCTCTATATATCTCTCTCAGGTGTCCTGCTCTCTCTATAACTCTATCTTATGAGTCGCTCTCTTTATATCTCTCTCTTTTATGTCGCTCTCTTTATATATATCTCTTTTATATATATATATATGTATTTTCCGCCTCTATATATATATCTCTCAGGTGTCCTGCTATCTCTATATCTCTCTTTTTATTTTCTCTGTGTCTCTCTTTTTTATCTTACATATCTCTCTCTGTTATGTGTCCCTCTTTCTCTCTCTCTCTATATATATATATCTTTCTCATGTGTCCCTCTCTCTCTTACTCTTTCTCTCTATATATATATCTCATGAGTAACTCTCTCACTCCCTCTCTCTCTCTCTCTCTCTCTATATATATATATATATATATATATATATATATATCTTATGTGTCCCTCCTCTATATCTTTCTCTTATGTGTCCTTCTCTCTATAATTGTTATGTGTCCCTCTATATATCTCTCTCTCTATCTTACGTGACCCTCTATATATATATGCCTCTATCTGTGCCCCTCTCTATATATATCTCTCTCTTATGTGTCCCTCTCTCTATATTTCTCTCTCTTATCTGTCCTTCCTCACTCAGGACAGATAAGAGAGAGAAATATTTGTATATATATATATATATATATATATATATATATATATATATATATATATAAAAAAAAGAACTCATCCGAACAATTGCCATGAAAGTATTTATAAAAAGGCACAGAGAGGCAACCTTATAGTGGTGGGAAAGTGACTGAAGTTGAGCTGCCTGATCAGGAATATTAATTCTTCTTTGTATATATATATATATATATATATATATATTGTTAATTCTTCTTTGGATATATATATAAAATATTTACAAGAAAATTTCATTAAAAATAAAGGAAAGTACTGAACTGGAATGTAATAATAGTCCTCCTATTTGGCAGTGAATGCTGGACAATTTCTTCACAAATGAAAAGGAGACTTGAGGCAATAGACGTGGTTCTACAGAAAATTGCTGGGAAGACCATAGGGAGAGCATGTAAGCAACAAAGAAAAATTAAAATAAAAAGCACAATTAAACATAAAATCAGAAAGAGGAAGTTGAAATTTCAAGGACACGTAATAAGAAAAGAAGGCCTGGAAAATTTTACACTCACAGGACATATTGAAAGTAAAAGGGATAAAAGAAAAACTCGTTTAACAAGCTTGTGTAAATGGATCTCAGAAGAGGGAGACCTGGGGATAATAAAAAGACAAACATTGCTAAGAGCTATGAAGGAAAGGACGTTGTGGAGAGCCGTTTGCCCACATCATGAAGAGACACGGCACATAGAAGAAGAAGTTAAAAAATAAAGGAATGTAAATACCACCAAAATATTGATTTCATTGATATCCTTATGGATGAAGAAAAGTCTTGAAGCAACAAAAATATAGTTATACAAAAAGATGCTGAGAATACCATAGATTGAACATGTGATCAATGACAAAGATTTGGAGAAAATGGAAACAAGACGGACACTTATACTTAACATCAGAAAGAGTTAAAATTTCTAGGGCACATAATGAGGAAAGAAGGCTTGACAAATTTGATGCTCACAGAAAAGATTCAAGGTAAGAATGACAGAGGTAAACAGTGCATATCCTACCTAATGAGCTTGAGTAAATGAATGGAAGAACAGGGTTTAGGAAAGATAACACAAAGAAATTTTAAGAGCTATAAAGGAGAGGAAATTATGGAGAGCCATGATCACCAACATCCTGAAGAGACACAGCACATAGAAGATGAAAAATAAAAGAATTTAAATAGCCAAAAAATACTGATTTCATATTATATCCACAAGTCCAAAAGAAATTGTTATTTGAAATCCTCTTTCCTTAAATAATAGATCTAGATAAATATAAGTCAAAGTAAATAATAGATCGAGATAAGTAAAAGTCAAAATAAAATGTGCATACAATTGTTTGAGGGTTTTTTGAAAATTCTTCACCACTTGTTATAATGTCTGAGTGAATAAGAAATCAGCTTGAAATATGTCACTTGCTACTTTTTTCCCCCCATTCCTTCGTCAAAGAGATATCTATTTTCTAAAACTAATAAAAACATGTCATCTCCACTGCAAGCAAAAGAAAATTCCTGAAAAAAAGAAAGCAACACAGAACAAGAGAAAAATACATACGCACAAATTGCTCTTCTGATGGAGAATTTCAGAATGTGTCAAGAAAATAGCCATCAGTCTCACAATGGATTCAGTGTGAAACATTTCATTTCACAGAGAAGATAAAAAAAAACAGAAAAAGTTAAATGCATCACATGAAGAAGCATAGTAAAAATATGAAGAAGAAAATGCTTTTTTGTTCATAAATAAAAGAAAGAGTCGACACAAGTCAAGTGAAAGATAGAAGTATTGTCAGAAAGAATGGTATAATCTGAGAATAATGGCTAACACTAGTATAAAAGAGATCAAAATTATGTTTTGAGTGTATTTCTAGATTCACATGCAGATAATATCAAAAATGAAAAGGGTTGATAAGTAGTAAGAGTAATGAGCAGATCCTTCACAAGGATTACTCCCAAGGATTATTGCTATTTACACTATTTACATTGTTTGGACTGTTATCTTCATCTTTATTGTCATATTCATGACATTTCAGCTGTTGTACACTCTGGCTTTCTTCAGTTGATATACGATGGGATTTCAAACTGAACCCTTTATTTAGTCCACTGGGGTAGATTGTTCTAGTTCCACATGCCATGCCTTTTCTGGATATCTCAATTTCAGTTATCTCCCTTTAGTAACTCAACTCTCCAAGTTTTTGTTCAAAAACTCACAACACTTTGGGTCAAGTGACCGGATTACTTCAACCAATGCTTTTATCCATCGGGCCATGCATCCATGGGGACAGCAGTGAATGAACTTTTGGGACTTATAAACCTAATGTCTCAGTAACCATTTTTTACCAGAGCTCATATTACAAATTTTGTTATTGTTATTTTTCTCTAGCCATCTATATTACTGGTTCCCATATTATATTTATGTCTATGCTGGACAGGCTTGGAAGATTTTTGTGGCCTAGTATATGCACTGATTCCTTAAGTTTTTGTATTTTCCAATGATGTTCTTTGTCTATTATTTCAGCCTCATATCACAGAGGGTGGTGATCTCCCCTTTCCCTACATATATGGTCAGTCATGTCCGATTTTTCTATTTCCCCTCATGTTACGGCTTTACGGTGTTCCTGCAGTCTTATCTTAAGGGAGTAGCTTGTTTTTCATTTATATTTCTTGCCACAGTTGCATGGGATGGCATACACACAGTCTCTAATCATGTTCTCCTCTATGGGATGCCTTACTTGGAAGAGGTATTTCCAAAGTGCAGAACCACTTTTGAAGGTTGTTCTGATGTTATATGGACTACAGATCTTTTGTATTTTTTCTGATAATCCCTTTGCATTGGGTAAGCAGACCAACACTGTTTTTCGAGTGTTGTTATTCTTTTGTACTCTTCTATCCCAGTTTATGGGAGCTGCTGTCATGTACACAAGGTAGTTGTTACATTGTAGAGTACAATGGACAAAACATTGTGAATATGACAATAAAGATGAGGACAACAGTCTGAACAATGTAAACAGTGTAAATAGTTACAGTACCTCACCTCAGAAATATTCACAGACGATTATTGCTGTTTTCTTTTTAATCATTTGTCATTATTTTCTGTATAATTATTATACTTCCATGTTCTGCTACCTGTTTACACAAGTTTTTAGGCAGGTTACACACTGCTCTCCTGTATCCCTCTTGCTTACAATATGCCTTATGAGTGTCAAATTTTCTAAGCCTTCTTTTCTCACTCTGAAGTTAGAAATGTTCCTTGTCATTATGTCATTTGCTGAATGTGTCAACATAAGGTATACAAGTTTACAGCCACATCACATTAAACACCAGTTCTTGTACAATCACCAAACTTAAGCAAATGAGTCTGGTCAGTGCCTACATGGGTGACTACTTTGGAATATCAGATGCTGTAAGCTTGGATGTGT